CAAGAGGTTCAGAAAGCCAGGAAGGACCAGAAAACCATAATGGAGACTGTAACAGTTTAGCAGGAGATAAACCACGAGAAACTAAATCGGCAGGGTTACAATCGCCAGGAACATGACGCCATTGACATTTTCGAGACATAGACAAAATAATGTCAACCCGAGTACGCACATAAGACGCTACACGGGGACTTTCCATGTTAATCCAATGCAGAGTTGTTTCAGAATCTGTCCAAAAGAAGACAGGACACGCTTTGAGATCAACCACACGTTTGATCTCTTCAACCAATTGCACAACGATGCAAGCCGCAGTAAGCTCAAGACGATTTATTTTAATGGCCTCCGGTTTTTCACGGATGGACTGACGTTGCTTACTGGGAATGAGGCGAGACTTGCCCCACAACAAACTAATGCGCACACCCTGTGCAGACCGAGATACATAATAGACGGTCACACCCATAGCCAGGCTACTGGCATCACTGAAAGCGTGAATTTCAGCACTAGTTTCATTTGGCAAACGAACAAGGCGAGGCTGTACAATTTGCTTAATTTTATCCAACTCAATAGCCAGCTGCTTAAATTGTTGACTCTCTTTTGGATTTAATTTCTCGTCCCAACTAGCATTGGGATGTTTGTCATTAAAGCGTTGAAACGCAATTTTGGCCTCTGTAACAGCCGGAGCAGCATGACCAAGAACATCAAACGGTGCAGACGGTACACCAGCAGCATGACGTTTACGTAAAGAGGCTTTAGTAGAAAACTTTAAAATATTTTCAATAGATGGGGATAAGGTATCATCCTTAGCATGGTAAGTCATTCCAAGAATCTTATACGTGTCTGGAGTGGTGGAAGCATATTGCATCTGAATGGGATAAGTTTTAATTTTAGTAAGCTGAAAAGATCCAACAGAAAGGGCTTTAGCTGCTTTTTCAAGCTTATCATTGACCTCCAAAATAGAACTGCCACTGACAAGTACATCATCAACATATGTGTTATCCTCAAGTTCAAGTTGCTCTTGCAAACTGATAACCCCCTGTGCTTGAGCATGACGATATAAAAAGCGAACACAAGCATTTAAGATAAACGGAGCACAGTTGATACCCCATGGTAAACGCAACCATCGATAAAATTGGAAGGTGTAAGAACCGTCAGCCTGTTTCTGGGGCATACGAATAATAAGCAACCACTGATCATCTTCATGTAATTGAATTTGAACGAAAAGTTGATGCCCCATGGTAAACGCAACCATCGATAAAATTGGAAAGTGTAAGAACCGTCAGCCTGTTTTTGGGGCATACGAATAATAAGCAACCATTGATCATCTTCATGTAATTGAATTTGAACGAAGGCTTTTTTAACATCCGCAAGACCAAATGATTCTGCAAATCGTAAACGAAGGAGCATATGTGCAATATTGGGAAGTAACTTCGGACCTTTATTAAACAAATCATTACAAGACGCCTGACCCTTATCGGCTGCATCACCAGCAATAACAACTCTTAATGGAGTCGTGGGATGTTCGGGACGGGCAACACCGTGATGAGGTAATTCGGTGTAAGGAGTGCCACGTTGTTCTAATTCATCTAAAGTAGTAGGTGTAATAATCCCATCATTCACCCAATCTTGAACAAATTGGACATATGCCTGTGCAATGCGATCACCTTTCTCCAACATACGGATAACAGAATGGACACGTTGCTCCCCTGTGCGAAGATTATGGCTACAGTAAGCCGGAAAACAAGGATTTTTCGGTATTTTAGCAACAACACGATTATTACAAAGAGTAAGACCCTTAAAATAATCCAACAACTCTAATTGAGCAACATCGGAGTCATCTGCATTGCCAAATATGTCAAAATGATCCGTTCGAATTTGACACTTGAACAAATTGGACATATGCCTGTGCAATGCGATCACCTTTCTCCAACATACGGATAACAGAATGGACACGTTGCTCCCCTGTGCGAAGATTATGGTTACAGTAAGCCGGAAAACAAGGATTTTTCGGTATTTTAGCAACAACGCGATTATTACAAAGAGTAAGACCCTTAAAATAATCCAACAACTCTAATTGAGCAACATCGGAGTCATCTGCATTGCCAAATATGTCAAAATGATCCGTTCGAATTTAGGTATTTTAGCAACAACACGATTATTACAAAGAGTAAGACCCTTAAAATAATCCAACAACTCTAATTGAGCAACATCGGAGTCATCTGCATTGCCAAATATGTCAAAATGATCCGTTCGAATTTGACGCAGTATAGCTTGATTTAGTTCGTAATCTTCCACAGTCTCAAGTAAGGACTTAACATAAAAGGAGGAGTTAGAGTGATATTTCTGATTTGGTAAAAGCTCAACCCAATGACCGCGCGGAATTAAACCAAACGGAGTTTGAGTTAATTGAAAGAACGGGTCATCATATAAGGGAAAACGTTGAGGAGTATTAATTGAAACAAGATCCGCTCCCCCCAGAATAAGGTCAAAAGAGACATTAGTGGTATAGAGAATGCGAGGATCTGCAAATAATGAATGAAACTCATAAAGCCAGGTGGCAATACTAGGATTACCACCAGACCAACTATGCAAGAGGGGTACAACAACCGCCTCTGTAGTAAGGGTGTATGCTGGATTAACGATAGATGTGAAAGAAAGAGAAACGATAGAATGAGAAATTAAGGGAACAGAACTTTGACCAACACCAGCAACGTGATACTGCTTGGGTGTGTTAAGAATAGGCAAATTTAATCTTTGCGCAAGCGATTTAGTAATAAGATTAATTTGAGCCCCAGAATCTAAAAGAGCATAAAAAGATTGGTGAGATGGAGAATGATTAACCTTAATAGTTTCTAGAAAAGAACACTTAGGATATTTGACAGAGGACGTAGAGGATGGACCAATAAATGGAGAAGCATTAAACGCAACAGAATTAAATTGAACAGAAACAACTGGGTCAGGTTCGTCTTTAGGAACGACAGGAGGAGGAGGAGCAATAGCAAGTGGAGCAACTGGAGCCTGTAAAAAATGTACGTAGGCAGGTGATTGCGTATATTGACGCTGTAAGGCCGCTAATTGTTGCTTGAGGGACTCAACAGTATCGGGAGAATCCGAAGTAGATTGAGAAGAGGAAGGATTGCCAGGGGGTCGGCGATCAAAAGAGGAAGGTCGAACAAATGCACGACCATGGTTAGATGCATGACGAGAATCGTGTGATGAACGTTGCGATGTGCAAAAAATAGTATGATGTCGCTGATTACAGGTGCGACAATTGTAACGGCTAAGGCACGTTTGGACACGATGACCAGGCCGAACGCAATTGTAACAAAGCTTCTTGGACTTCATAATCTCCCGTTTTTGCGGAAGCGGAAGAGTACAATTAAAAAAGGTATGAGAACCCATACAAAAGATGCAAGATCGAGAAGAGGACAGAGTGGAGACAACTTTGGGAGGTGCGGAACGAGTTTAAAATAGAAATAAGATGAGTACGTCGTGGCATAGGAGTATCCCAAGTAGGAGTAGAAGGAAAATGCGGAATCGTAACAGAAGTTGGATTGGAAGGAAGCGAAAGATTGTCAAGCGGTTCAGAGACATCAAAATCATATTGAAGGGAAGTAGATGGTTGAGGACGCGAAACAGGAGCAGTGGAGACAGAAGGAAGAAGAGGATTAACCTTACGAGGTCGGCCACGACGAGTAACCCTCGCAGGAGGAGGACGATGCAAACCTGGTGGATGACGTGGAGATTGACGAGTAGGAGCGACACCGCGCCTGACACCAACGCCGCGAACCATTATAAAGTTTAGAAAGTAGGGAAAGTACCGTAAATCGTCAGAAACGCTCTGCTACCAATTTATATTGGGCACAAATGGGCCACAATATAATTTGATGTCAAGTGTTTGGAACGAACGGAAATAAAACGAATAAATCAGTCCGGGACTGGACCGGGATTCCTTATTGGAATTCCTACTTTAATGGGAATTGTATTTCGGATAAATGGATAAGTCAACGACTTCACGAGCTCGGGCTTATCCGGGACTGGACCGGGATTCCTTATTGGAATTCCTACTTTAACGGGAATTGTATTTCGGATAAATGGATAAGTCAACGACTTCACGAGCTCGGGCTTGTAACAAGGAATAACTTGAATAACGCACATGTAAATCTGAACTGAACTTGTCTTACTGATAATTGAAGCTCTTTATATAGCATTCATAATAATTAACCTAATTAACCTTCACAAGGTTTTACTTCCTTCAATGATGGCAGGAAAAGTTATCGTCGAAGATGCTATAGTGCTTGGCGCATCCGGTACCAGGATGTGCCTGGCACTGCGATTTTGAGGAGGGGGAATATTATTTTAATTCATAGAATTCAAGTATTCTATTGTACCCGGCGTACATGCCCAACAGAGACGTGCAAAACGTGAGCGATTTTTAAAAAATATCCTCCTACGCAATATGGGTTTTAAATATGAGCGCATATGTTCTTCGCAACTTCTTGATGGATTTCTTTTGTCAAGAAATGGTTCTTGAAAATAATTTTTGAAAAATCTAACGAAGTTCACATTTGACTCCGGAAAACCAGATTTGATCACTTGTAAAGCAAAATAAATCGTACGAATGAACTGATATAATGGCTGTGAATTTAGTTCTTCGTTGCGATTTTTTTTTTCAATTTTCTGGATTCATGCACAAGAAACGCGCGATAAAATTTGCCAAAAGTTACATAAATTTAAACTGAACGTTTTCTGAGTACCGTATACTGGAAATTTCTGTAGTGATGTATTCGGATTGCCAAAATTAATCCCGGTATTAGTAGGACATAAATTCCCAAGACGAATAATAAACTTATACTCCCTATCAATAAATTGCATATTTTCCCAATACAATTTATTTCAAAGAAAAAAATGTTTCCCGCGACGAAAAAAAAATAACATTTTCATATAATACGGATGATATAAGAAATCATTAATTTTGCTACTTTATCCGTTTTTTTTACCTTTTCCGGAGCGGAAAATTTTGATTGGGGAAAACAATTTCAAGGAACAGAATAATTTGTCGAAGATCCTTCCAATAATTTGTCAGCCGTACTTTTCTTCATTAACAGTAGCTTAGTTTACTCATTTCATGCAAGAAGACGGATGTCCGCGAAATTTCAGAATAAAAAGCGAAAGTTCCGAGTGATTGCTGAATTCCGAAATAAATGCTGTGGGAAAATCGAGCAGCTGGTTTTTTCGTCACTTTTCCGCTTTCTTTTACAAGTACTTTTGTTTTTCAAGTAGGACAAACATTTTCCTTCTTTCTTTCCGATCATTTTTTTTCTTTTTACCTCATTTGGACCCTCGATTTCAGGATTTATGCAAACAAAAAAATAATAATTTCGCGAATGCTCATTTACGCATATTTTAAAAATAATTCGCTTGATAGAAACTGATTTTTTATTAGTCTGAATTCCGGACGTGAAAACAACAATGGAATTGTTAATTTTTGTCAAGAAAAAAATCATAAATCGAGTTTCCGATGTTACAGCTTCTATGTGCCATTTATTTGACGAAACTTTTTTTCTCGAGTTGTGGGCCTCTGAACAACTTTAAGCGCAGATGTAAATAACTAATTATTCTCGCAAAAAAGCTTTTCAAAATTTGGCGAAACCTTTAAAATGCTTACTTCCAGAAATTTAGAAAGTCTCGTTCTTTTTATTAAATTATCAGAAAAATGGCGGAAAAATTCAGTCCCACTCACTTCACCAGTTTTTGGTGAGAAAGATTTTTCTTTTTAGCAATATACAGTATTAGCGACTCATAAATTAATTCCATGAATTGGCACTGAAACACGGTTTCTTTGCTCAAGAGCGATTATTAATTTACTAATGCAATATGTGTTTGTTTGGAACATTGCAAAATCCAATGTGTTCAAAAGAAATGGTCATAGAACAGGTCATTTTACAACTATGTAATCTCTCAAACCTAAAATATTCCTGAAAGTGAATGTTTTACGGCTAAGAAAAGAAAACCTAGCAAAGATTTTCAGTCACCTTCCACAAAATTTCCATCATTCATTTTTTAATAAAAAAAATTACAGTTTAACTTCTCTCAAGTCGAATTTCAAGGGACCAGCAACAAATCCGACTTAAGGACTTTTTGACTTAGGGAGGTTTCTAGTAAGGGAAAAAGGCACTTTTTTGGGGAAACTTAAAAGAATTGCAGGAAATTGTAACTGGGGATATTTTTTATGCCTTAGAAATTGCTTCTATGACTTTACAGCATGCTGAACTTGAAGACAAGGGTTCATTTGCCCAATTACTCTGTCATTTCCTTTTAAAACACATTAAGTTATGCGTTTCATTGTTTTTATCTTTCATTCATCAAGAAAATAAAAGCCGAAAGGCTGCAGAAAATTTTACTCATGGAGGTTTGAGCAGAAGAGACTTTGGAGTTAGGGAGGTTTTTAATACTATTGGGGACAGATGTCACTGCAATATAAATTGATGTCAAATGTCGCAATAAAACACAACGATCAGTCTGAGACAGGACCAGGAATGCCTTGTGAGAATTCCTAAGTTAAAATGATAAATGTATTTCACAAAGGTAAATTGATGAACAACTCAGTAAACTCTTCTCACAGCTAGGATGAATTGGTTAATAAATAACTCAACTCAACTACTGATGATGATCTGATTAAACATGAGCTGCTTAAATACTCAAAAGATATTCAACCTTCATTGGTTTATACTTTACATGATAGAAAAAAAACCCTTCAACAGGTCAAGAATCTAAATATTCTAAACACAAAGATGCTTTGGTGACAGGAAGTAACTGGCACTGCAATTTTGCGGAGGGGGGAAATGATTTCTAGGAATTTTATAGTTAATTATTAATGCGCAGCGTTCTTGCCAAAAAATACTGTATATTGTTTATAAGGGAATTCAAATGAGGACTTGAACAAAAAATTCGACTTTGAGGGAGGTTTGACTTTTCAAAATGTATTCATTTTTTTTTTCAAAGTACTGCAATATGCTGTAAACCTTCCTCTAATCCTGACATATTTTTTTCAAACGACGTTCTTCTTCAAATAAGAGAGGAGATTCCAAATTTCCACAAATCTCTGAAAACAAAGAAAATTCTGACAATAATGTTCTGCAGTTAAAAAAAAAGAAACCTCTTGAAAGATTTCCAGTCAACATAAAGTCTCGACATATTTCATCAAGACCCGAAATTCCGGAAGAACCCCAAGGAAAAAAAAAGATACATAAATACGTATTTATATTTACACAAGGCAAAAAAGGAACTTGATACGATGCTGAACCCGTCGCTAGACTCGAAACCCGGGGGTTTTTGCACGAAGAGCAAAAATAGCCGCATGCTGCGCACTGGATAAACAGTTGAGTCACTGGCCCCCAAGTCGAGTCAGGTGAGTCTCAAAATAAAAATGAAAAAACTTTTATAAAAAATAAAATAAACGATTAGACGAAAAAGCTCAACCCAGGCTATAGGAGAGGAAACAAAACGACAAGGAAAAAAAAAAACTGGCTCACCAGTTGTTCGAGTCAGTTATGACCCAGCCTTTTTCTGACCTGTCCTCATATCAGGAAAATCATGACCTGATGTCAAATTAGAAAAAAACCTGAGGTCGAACAGGATTTTTATTTTCGAAATAAAAATAAACTTTATTGGGGAATCAATCTTATTTCTAGTTGTAATACGGACATCCATAAAGCGTAATATTTTCTGTCATACTCAATAGATGTCGCCTGCGTCTTCTTAGTTTAGCGAAATTTTAAACTAGGTTATGCTTTGTAAAATTTCACTTCGACAAGGAGAATAAAACTTTCGAGTGATGATTTCAAACAGGAAGAGAGAAGGAAAAAATATCAAGGTGGTCTGCAAAAATAAGTTTTGAATTTAATTCTAAAAAATTATTTGGTCCCCTGGCAGATTATAATTAGAAATCAAGTGAAGAATAATATTTAACGTCGACTGAATTTTTAATTTCATTTCAAACTCATTCGTTGCGTTCATAATTTTATTTACTGATTAGTAGATGTCTCTTGCATACTTCCACATTTTCAGGCAATTCTAAATTAGGCCGAGGAGTTAAAAAAAATATGGCTTCAGTTTAGCAATATTAAATTTTAAAACGACGGCGTCCAAATACCAACAATAGTAGCAAATTTCAAATCTGGACAGTAAAAAAATAGAATTACTCTAGATTGGAAATTTGAAAAGAAAACACTTTCGTTCCAACGACACGACTTATTCGAAAATCATTTGAAAAATATGCTAACCCCGACTCCATTTTTACTCTCTTCGCAGCAACAACGCACATTTAATTTTGAAAAAATCCTCGACGAATGTCCTTGAAAACGTAAAATCTTTTACTTTCGAATAGATGTCGCTCGTTCATTGCTATAGTTCTTCGGGTGCAATTTAGAAACGTAACAGTTCGTCGACTGCATATGAGTGATGGAAGAAATTCGCAAACTATACGAAAATTTCAAATTGCATTTGAAAAACGGACTTTCACAACAAGTTTTTCCTACGACACGGTTAATTTAAATCAGCACTACCCCAACCCGTGGTCCATATCTTGGATAAATGATTTATCCAAAATTTTGGAAAGACAAATGCAGTTGAAACTATCTTATGAAAATTGAAAGTTCCTCTTAATAACACTCCAGACAATTTTTTTTTTACCTGCGAAAAATATAATTTTAGGTTTTCAAAACTGAGAAGCTTTTCTTGAAGCCCAGGGTTCTATTTCTTTGAATACATTCCTTTCTATTGCTGCTTCCTTGGTTCTTGACTTTATTTTTGTAAAGCAAGGTTTTTTCTGGGTACTTTCATGGCAGATATTAAAAAAAAATATTTCTGCCAGTCTTCAAAAATGGTATGGATCTTTGCCGGTCTGCAGAAAATTTTATGAAAATTTGCCGGTCCGCAAAAGATTTTATTTCATTTGCCAGTATGCAAGCCCAAAAAGGTTTGGGGAACACTGATTTAAATCACCGGACAAAGATTAAACCCCCGCAACTTATATACTTACTGCTCTACAGGGTGGACCAAAAAAATGTGAACCAATTTTTCAATTACAATATCTTGACAGAAAATTGAGCTACAGTGGCAAAAAAAATAACAACCAAAAGAAAGCTTGTTCAATTTCATTTCAAAGGATTTTTGGCTTTATGGTCCCAAGTGTCATGGCATGGTAAAAAAAAGATTCTGTTTGAATGACAACTTTCCACACACAAAAATTCACCGAAATGATTCATTTTTGGAAATTTGTCATTCTATTGGGAACAGATGTCACTGCAATATAAGTTGATGACAAACGTCACAATAAAATACAACAATCAGTCTGGGACAGGACCAGGAATGCCTTGTTAGAATTCTTAAGTTAACAGGATAAACGTTTTTCACAAAGGTAAATTGATAAACAACTCAGCAAACTCTTCTCACAGCTAGGATAAATTGACTAATGAATAACTCAACTCAACTACTGATGATGATCTGATTGAACATGAGCTGCTTATACACTCTGAGATATCCAACCTTCATTAAACTCAACTACTGATGATGATATGATTGAACATGAGCTGCTTATACACTCTGAGATATCCAACCTTCATTGGTTTCTACTTTACATGACAGAAAAGACCTTTAATAGGCCAAGAATCTAGAGTCAAAGATGCCAGGAAGTGTCTGGCACTGCAATTTTGAAGAGGGGGAAATTATTTCTAGGAATTTATGTTTAATTATTAATGGGAGGCGTGCTTGCCCAACACATTCAAAGGGATTTTTCACCATGTCATGACACTTGGGGACCATAATAACAAATATCATCTGAAAGAAATTTGAAACAGGTTTCATTTGGTAGTTGTTATTTTTTGTCACTTTAGCTCAAGTTTTTGTTGGGATATTGTAATTCAAAAATCGGTTCACTTTTTTTTTTTGGTCCAACCCTGTACATCAGAATGCATGCGTAAATAAAAGCGATGATCCTTGGGAGTTCATTGACACAAAAAATAATGATATGCAAGGGGATTTTCAGCGCCCTCCTGAAAACGCTTCACCGCAGTTGGAACGAATTACAACTTGAACCACGGGGGAATTTCTTCCTGTTGTAATTCACTGATGGGGAGAAAATACCCATGTTCAGTATAAAACCGAATACGTTCCCGTAGGTTAATTCTGAATGTTTCTTCTGCTTTTATTCCATTATCCCCCCCTAAAAAAAACTTCATGTCAAAATTCAATACAACGCCGCCTTTTACTAATTTTTAGTAAATAATTTTTAACGTCTTTTTCAAACAGAACTTTTTGATTTCAATACTTGTGTAAAAAATAAAGAAATACACATAAGGAAATTCCTCTTCAATAAAACTCATTTTAATTTTCTTCTGCATTCTTAAGGTACAGTTGCAATCACAGCAGAATATATCACTAAACGTCCCTGAAGAGGCAGTAAATTTTGCATGAAATATTCAACAAAAAATATTTCCTACACCCTGGCATTGCTAAGTAAAATAGCAAAAAAAATGCAATTCAACCAGAAATAAAAAATGCCATGATGTTCCCGGCATAATAATTACGATAAATCAAAACGATCATCGCTGAGATGGACATTCAACGGTTTTTTCTATCCACTCAAAAAAATAAATTGAAATAATTTCAAGATCGAATGTGACCTTGCTAAAAACAACATACAGTAATGTGTTTCGAAGTCAACGGAAAAAAAGTAACGATATTAGGATTATTTTATGATTTTAGAATACACTACAGGGTACCGTGCTTTGATTATTATTTTTTTTTAATATCTCGATGTCGAGGAATTTATATTTTAAAATTGTCGAAAATTATCGTGTGGGACCTTGATTCAACTCATGGTTAAATTCACAATTTCTCCAATAAATCTAAGCCATTCCTTTCTCAGTTTATTTGTCGTCAAAGTCATCCCAATTCCACATGATACCTCATGGAAAATCAATTAGGTTTCCATTTTAAAAAAATATCAGTACACAGGCTACTGAAAGAAATTGACAGAAAATCAGTATAAAAAAAAGAGAGCAGCCTCTTGAAATTTCACCCTTTTAAAATTATGGGTCTCAGGTGAATTAGAAACAGCAGATAATTTCGATTTTACCAGAAATTCCAATTCCAGAAAAAAAAGTACGTAGGTCAAAGTGTCCGTATATTTCGGGGTTTCACCGTAATCATCTTCCCTTTTCCTTTTTAGATTCAGAAAATATGTTTACATTTATGCATACTCATCTACATACCAAGTGAAATCCAATCATCTGCCCTGATTTTGCGGGTGAAAAAAAAAAAAACAAATCTGCGCGTGGTACTCAAAATAAATTAAGGACATTATTTATGCTTCAGATGCATATAGTGTAATTAAAAGTGAAAACACATTAGCTTGAAGAGTCAAAACGGTAATATCAAGTCAAAAGAGTCCCAACATATACGCATCAGAAAATACAAAAAAATGAGAATGATATAAAGGTATGCTCACGTTGCGGGGACTGTGCAGGCTGTGGAGACTGGACATGCATGTGTTGAACGGGACTCTGGGCCGGTGTGATGTGGCCAGGAGTAACATGCCCACCGGATGCCAAACTCTGATTTGATGAGCAAGGGGAACCCATGCCTTGTTGTCGCTTTCGTGGGTCCTCCCAATGCGTGGTTCTGGTAGCGTGACTGCAATTTTTTGACAAACAAACAAAAAAGAAATTTAGAACATAGGCTTCCAAACGGTGCTACGCAGAGTCCCCAGGGGCTCCGCAGTGAGTAATGAAAAAATTAAGCACGTTAAAGGAAATTTTAAAATAAAAAATAAAATCAGCTATTCAAAAGGTTAGAGAAACAAAGAGAGCCTTTGAGAAGCAAGGAGAGCCTCTGGAACAGTGGTCAGCAGAGCCCTTGGGGCTCCGCATGGAGTTGCCAGGGGCTCCGCAGTGATTCATGGAAAAAGTGAACACCATCAAATGACATTTTAAAATAAAAATAAATTTAGCTATTCAACAGGTTATAGAAGCAAAGAGCGGCTCTGAAACAACGTTTAGCACAGTCCTTGGGGCTCCGCATGGAGTTCCCAGGGGCTCCGCAGTGAGTCGTGAAAAAAGTAAACAGGTCAGAAGACATTTTGAAATAAAAATAAAATCAGCTATCCAACAGGTTACAGAAACAAAGAGAGGCTCTGAAACAGTGGTCAGCAGAGTCCTCAGGGCTCCGCATGGAGTTCCCAGGGGCTCCGCAGTGAGTCATGACAAAAGTAAACAGGTCAAATGAAATTTTGAAATAAATAATAAAATCAGCTATTCAACAGGTTTGAGAAGCAAGGAGAGCCTCTGAAACAGTGGTCAGCAGAGTCCTTGGGGCTCCGCATGGAGTTCCCAGGGGCTCCGCAGTGAGTCATGACAAAAGTAAACAGGTCAAATGACATTTTAGAATAAAAATAAAATCAGCTATTCAACAGGTTAGAGAAACAAAGAGAAGCTCTCAAACAGTGGTCAGCAGAGTCCTTTGGGGCTCCGCATGGAGTTCCCAGGGGCTCCGCAGTAAAATCTAGAAAAAAACAAACAGGCAGAATAAAATTTAAAAATAAAAATAGAGGATAGACTGACCTTCACGTAACCAAAGTCGGAAACAATTTAAAGGCAATTTTTAAAACATTTACATATTCATGGATAAATTTTTCATTCCAAGTAACTTTAAATTGTTCACAAGTAGAACTGTATTGTCTTTGAAAATATTCCGCATAAATTGAACTAAATCGTTTTTTAATTTCTCAAATTTCAGTGCTATCCTGTTCGTTTAACTCAACTCATCATCCGTTAATTCGTAACAACTTCGATGCTTTTTCTCAAAAAAATTTTAAAAAGTATTCGCAACGGCATCAAAAATTCATGAAATGTCGGATTCGGAAGCGAAGGAATTCCACAATTCCACGCTTTTCCCCCTTTTCTTCCGGAAATCCCTTCATCTTTATCAATCTTCATTCAAGTCACCCACGCGTCTTCCCTTGAACCAAAAAAATATATATATGAGAGAAAAAGGGATGAAAAGGATCTCACGAAATCGTAACTTGACGTGAGCAGATTGACAATTTAAGAAATAATACCGCACGTATTTAAAATAAAATAAAATAAAAAAGAAGAGAAAAAACTTGCTGGGACTAAATCGTTGTTGCAGATCCCACGCGAGTTAACACCGCAACGCAAAAGATTTCGCCCACCGCCAATTCCGGCCCAACAAAAGACATGGAAGCTGCGGTGTGACCGGAAAGAGGAAACAAGCCCGGAAATACCCATACACTACTACTACAGTACAGTACACGGTTACTAACCCCTCGATCTCACTTTTGAAATAAATTCGCTGGTAAAGTACAATGTACATCAGTGTTTCCCAACCCGTTGTCCGCGACCCGGCGCAGGTCCGCAATTTTATTTTTATTTTGCCAAACATTTTCTTCAGCATAATAAATTTATCATAATTAGCAATTAAGTTTTTAATCTTTATCTGAATTTTTTTTAATTCGTCAATGACAGTTGAAATTATGTGATGAGAGAGAAAAAAGGATTTTCTCCTAATCAGGCTTCAAAATATGTTCATGCGCTGAAATAAATACATTCAAATTTTTCATTCTGAGAAACCTTTCTTCAAGATCACCTTTCTTAATTCTTTGAAGACAAATCATTATAGCTGCTTCATTGGTTCTCAACTTAATTTTTGCAAAAAAAAAGGCATAACATTTTGGCTTAATTGCAAGAAACAGATATTTACAACCCTAAGATCTATGTAAGAAAAACTGTTTGGTACTTTTACCATCACTTTCCCATTCATTCAGCTAATTAAAAAAAATTACCTGTAGCACAGAGGGACTGCCTCTCTTTTCCCTCTCCTTTCTTCTGCTTGATAGACCAAAAATGATGATTTTGTGAGAGTCAATTTTCACTAACACGAATTCTGTCATGAAATTTCTGTTCAACGTTTCATAACACACCCCTTTGGATTCAAAAATCGTTTCCTCTGAAATGTTCAATTAAAAAAAAAAAAAATTTCTTTTAAACATTTCATGAAGTGGAAAAATTGATTGTTTCTCAATACAAAAAATTTCTAGACATCAACCATAATCCAAATGAAATTAGGCATTACTTGAGAAAGAATTGAATGAACTTGTGACACGACGTATTTTTTCAACGTAAAATCTTGAATACTTCCCGGGTGATATTGGTGTTTAAAAGTTGGGTTGCCCCTCTTTTCTCCTGCTTTGTAAGCCAAAACAAACAAACAAATTTTGTGACAGAGTCAATTTTCACAAACACGAATTCTGTCACGAAATTTCTGTTGAATGCTACATTTTAAAAAATAAAATAAAAATGTCTTCTTGAAATTTTTCAGAAAAGTAGAAAAATTGATTTATTTTTTTTTACACAAGAAAAAAATTTATCTGCATAAACCATCATCAAAATGAGTGAAAATGAAGAGAGAAAACCGAGCTGAAACCGCATGAAAGCGTGTGTGTGTGTGTGTGAGTGTGTGTGTCTAAAAGAGTGAAACCCCGTCCGCAAAATCCATTATGAATGGAACCCCGCCACAACTTCCGCTCGGATGCTATTTTTAGGAAACCACGTCTCTCTCTCTCTCTTTCCGTTACACGGAAAAGGAAGCACACGAAGGAAGCAGCAAAAAAAAATATACATCCAGTTTCTGAGAAACCCTCCTGTGGGGTGACTTCAAGAAACACATTTCGCAAAATTTTGCAGGAAAAAATATAATACTGTATTCGATTGCAATTTTGGGTTGCAGGGAAAAAGAGACGAATGGATTTAAAGATGGGATCTTGCTTCTCTTTTTTTTCTAACACGTCCAGTGACCCGAAAATCTGAAATCACAGCAGCACAAAAATTGCGTTATGCAAAATTTTGATTACCAAAAGAAACAGTGTCATTTCTTTTTTTGCGAAGGAGAGATTCATGCTTTGACACAGTGATTTTTTTTTCTGGACAGCCCGAAATTCTTGAAAAAATTAACAAAGGTTTCTAACATTTTTCAGCATAGAAGAAGCACAGACAAAACTTTTAATACAGTAATAGGAATAAATTCGGTATATTTCAATTGCATGAAGAAAAACTACCGCAAAAATCATGAAGAAGGCAATTTCTCGTGCCATAAAGTGAAATTCATTGTCCATCCCAAAGACATTTATTCATCATTGTGTCTTCAAAGTTTTGGCTGGTAATAGGGGTTCATCAATTTTAAATTTCGCCAAAAAAAAACCAGTGCTTTTCTGTTTACATTTATGCTCATTTCTCATCCCTCTTATCATCTATAATGTGATCCACGTTTTGAGAAAAAAAAACCCCCCAAAACTTTCTGATTATAAATTTTAGTATGGAAAACTTCACAAAACTTAGCAAAAATAAATTGATTCACCCCAAAATTTTAAACTCTCAAATAATGAAATTGCTCTTCTATCAAAGCACATGAACTGCATTAACAGCGAATTATGTTAATCAACGTCCCTGAATGGGCAGTAAATGTTGTACAGAAGAAAAAAAAAGCTCAAAAGGTTTTAAAAATATTTCCTATACCTCCAGGATCTGGAAAGTAAAATAGCAAGGAAAACAATTTGACCAGGAATTAATAAAAAAAAATACCAGGACGTGTCCCTGCAATCTGTGCTAATTAAGATAAATAAAAAACGACCGCTCATACGAACTTTCAAATACGCCCTTTTTACCCACACTCACAAATGAATTGAAAATAAGTTTAAAACCGAATGTGACCTTGCTAAAAAAATATATATATATAATTTACAGTGATGCGTTTCAAAGTCACCATAAAAACAGATCAACGCTTTTCGACGCGTCACGGTCAACATGAAGGTGAATGAGATTGGCAAAAAGGAGGGGGGGGTGTTTTCGGCATATGAGAACCCACGAAAAGAGGGGCCCCTCGTACCACAACCAGTTGGCAAATGGCCCGTGAGATAAATTTAGGCCAGGGTTCTCCCCTTGGGACCCAAAGCGAACCCGATTTCCTCCCTCAAACCTTGGCGGAAAAATAATGAAGACGGAGAAAAATTATATGCCTTCACACACAAAAAATAAATGCATCTTCGGCAGGAAATCACACTAAGAAATTGAATATTTTTAGCAGGAGTTGCAACAAATTTCCCCTTCTTGCTTACATCGAATATTTAATTTTTTTGAAGGATCATGAATATACGGTATTTATTTCCTTACACTTCGGTCATTTTACGCATCTAATCCTCATCGTATTTTTTTGTTTCCTTTTCTTTAAATTAATTTATTGACTGTTCAACATTAATAGCCAAGTAAACTGGGTCCACACATGAAAAATTGATTGATTTCCAGAATGAATTTCAAGAAGAAATTTCCCTTGGGGTACCATTAAAGAATTGCGTTCATTCCTGATAAAAAAAAACTGACATAAAGAATTTACATTTTTACTGAAAAATTCCATTGAATGAGTGCAATTCCTTCAGCTAACTTTCATTTTATAATGGCATATTTTTTCCAGATACTGGCTGGAAAAAAAAGATCAAGACGTTCGAAAAACACAAAAACACATTATTCGCTGAAAATATCCGCACAAAAAAAACAACAAAACCGCAACAAAAAAGGACATAATACGCATAAAAAAATGATACGGACTGCTTTTTAGCTCAAAGTTTCTTTCCCTCTTCGATTTTTCAAGGAATGAATACAGAATCACAAGAAAATTTCGTCATGCCAATTATCCGTAATTTTTACACGTTTTTCCTTCTTGGCAGCATAATTCTACATGTTTTTCTTTCTAAATCAGAAACATAAGATATTATCCCGCGAAGATTCCGCTTACAGTAAAATATCATTACAACAAAGTTTTCAGTATAACAAACATTTTTCCAAAATATTGTATAGGGTACATGTTATAAAAATCTTGTTACTACGAACTTTCAAATTTCCAGTACAACACACTTTTTTGAGGATCTTAAAAAAACTCAAGAGGATTTAAAAAAAGTTTTAATTTTCATATGTTTTTCAGAGTGCGTTAAATGTTTTTATTAACCATTAAATTTCTTTTTGAAGATCACAGCTTTTTGGACGCTGAAAAACATTGGAAAAGGCCACAAAAGGAAGCTGAAGAATATGTGCAGGTCTATTTTGAAATAAATCTTCCAATATATCAGTCAATAATTTTCAAAATCTTGTTGTAACAAGTATAAGTCCGCACAAGTTGGAATTTTACTGTAAATGCTTCCAACGATGCAAAAATGGGGATGAGTGCGCATCACGAGCAATTTTTTTTTCAACAATTTCAAAATGACGCAAATTTACAACAACAACAAAATTTAGAATTTAAAAAGACATTCAACAGACTAGATGTTGGGAAATGATTGAGAGAAACAACTCCGCCCACGCAAAAGAGCTGAAATTCAGTGATTGGGAACCAGGCCCGAATGACGAACGCCAATCGCATCGAAGACCAACACAAACTGGGCAGTCCCTCCTTTTTTTCTTTTTTCTTTTCGGGTGTTATTTCGTTCCCACGGAAATTTTATTTCCGTATCACATTATTCTCGTTTATTCTAAGGCGATGAGGTGAATTCCGATACGACTCGGAACCGAATCAAGTCAATAACTTCACTTTCAGGAGCAGCGATGATCAACAAACCGTGGGAAAAAGAAAAGAAAAAAAAAACCGAAACCCAGTGTGTTGGACGAATGCCGGTAGAATAGAAATAAAATGTGGGAGGAGACTTGAATATAAATGACATGACGGATTTATCCTCAAACTGCTGAATAATATCTTTGTGCATGAGTGTGTGTGTTTTTTCTGGATGGATGTTTACATACTTTACAATTTAAAAATGAAGGTCTTTTCGAAAAATTCTGATTTCTTTTAATTTCAGGGGGAAAAAAGCTTTGCACAAAGAAAAGGTACATCCATACTTCACAAATGAAAAATGAAGGTCTTTTCGAAAGTTTCTAATTTTTTTCAATTTCAGGAAAAAAGCTTTGCACAAAGAAGAGGCTTTATATTTTTAGTCAGGCGTCAATTTTTCTTTGAGTACGAACATTTCCAGAGTTGATATTTTTTACCGCTTCGAATTGACTAAACGAAAATCCGATTGGAAATTTATATTGAAAGATAAATCCGCTTGATTTCGTTTTCATCGATTTTGGTTTTTTTCAGGGACACGAAAATGGGATTGAATCCCGAAAATTTTCTCGAA